CCAGCCTCTTGCTTTGCTTCAGCGGCTGAAAAGCGGCGGGCTTCAATGCATCGTCCGAGTCGTCGAGCGGCGCTTCGTCGACGTTGGCATCCATGTCTTCGTGATCGTCGGACTCCACCAGAGTCGGCTGCTCTATCTGAATGTAGTCCAACAGCGTCACGGTTTCGCCCTCCACCTGCACCGTCATGCAGCCCTGGATCTGGTCTGAAGACGACTGGATCTGCAGCTCGTCAGGGTGGATCACGATCTTCTCCAGCTGGGGAAGAGACAGCGAGGACAGGATGCAGTTCCCAAACGATGATGGGATGTTCTGCATCTCATCTGTGGCGAAATTAAAATTTTATTTCAATGATGGATTAAAAACAAAAAAAGATGCTTTTGAACAAAAATGGACTTAAAGTTCAGCTGAAATACTCCTTGAACTTTATTATGTCCGGTTACTACCACACACTAAGGTTGTGTAGTGGCCTAGTCAAAGCTTGGAGATGAATCCCAACCCAAATCAGGCCTTTTAAAATGAAACAACACTCTATGTGGCTAAATGAAATAAATTCTGCAAAGATAAGCAGGACACATTTTCCCCACAGAGATGGGAAGCTCACTGCTAGTTTTCACCAACACAGCTGTTGTGTCACAATCAGTCGTTCGGTTTAGGGGGCACATACTTTTTTCTACAAAAGAAGTTATTTTTTTCATTCTGGGAAGATTTAAATAATTCAGTGATGACTTTTTATATTCCTTCGGTCATCCTTGAAATGAAAACGATCTGAAAAATGTGACCGATCGTTATCAACAAGATAAAAAATAAAAAACTCAAATTATGAAAATTTAACTTCAGAAGGTTCTGGATGCTTTTGCTTTGATTTAGTTTCTGATGTATTTCCAGTTTGCAAGATTATATCCAGCAGTTTGTTTCAACTGTTTTCCATGTATTTTTTTTTTTTTAATCTAAATTCCTCTTCAAGACGAGTAGACATGAACATTCTCTGGTTAGAATGGCCTAGTCAAAGTCCAGACTTAAATCAAATTGAGGCCTGCAGATGTAACTGTAATAAAGGGTGGGTTCTGAAGGAATTGACCCAGAACAGTTGAGAGCAAACACTCAACCAAAATCACAAAAAAATCCCAGTAAAAAAAAAGCATTAAGGTTAGTGGTTGTGTAAGAAACGGGTGTAAATACTTTTGTAAGTTACGACTCACCAGTAAAATCCACGTGTCCGAGTCTCGTCTGGTAGCGCAGGACAGTTTTCAGGTGCTGGGGGTCCGGTACCGAGTGAGCGCACTCCTCCAGCGCCGTCGGGATGCCGCCGAGGATGGACGCCGTCTACGACGCAGAAACGAGAAGAAACCGAACACGAAGCAGACGTTTTCTCAAATATGGGAAAGACGGGAGAACATTTCCTTAAAGTAAAACAGGTCAGCATGGCGTCTCTGTAACAAATATTTCACTAAATCCAGATGCCAGCTGGTTGGCTGAGCACAAGGAAAACCTGTTTTCTGTTTCACATCACAAATTTAAAGATGCAAGTTTGCTCAAATCTTACTCTGACTTTGCTCAGCCAGCTGACTTGGCAGTGGGCAGCAATAGAGCTACGTTAATTTATCGTTCAAACTACCAAATCCCAAACTTTCTGTGATATCTCATTAACCTGTCGCTACGTTTCTATTAACCATAGAATTACGCAAATTGAAATTACAAACACAACATATGGAAATACGCAAGTTAAAAAAAAAAGAAAAAAGATAAAACGTTTTTGCGCTACTTGTTCTTTCAGTTGCATCAAAATAGATGTATTTGGCAAAACTGACTTATTGCATGAACGAGTTTACTTATGTGTAATCTAATTTAATTTCTTATTTAATGGGAGCACAGCAATTGCGAAATTGTTTCTTTTTTCTAACATTAGCAAAATTGTCAACAAAGATTTTCAAATATTTGTAATGGAAACGCAGCTTGTGTGATTAAAACCTTTAAAACGATGCGAGTGTTCGTCTACCTGCTGGATGTCGGGAACTGGGAGAAGCTTCTCCAGTCGGGAAAGGAAGTCCAACATCAGCATCTGCAGAGCGTTGTCATAATCGGGTCCAAAATCTGTGGGGAAAACATCCTAGAGAAGGAAAGGTCGGGTTTTAGTCTGAAGAGTTCGTAGTTAAGAGCAGCTTTACGTGAAAACTAAAGACCTGGAAGAACTTCTCCTTCTCTTCAGGATCCTTCAGCAACAACCCGACCTGATCCACAAAGTTCGACTCTGGAAACTGAACATCTGAAAAACAAGGCTGGAAACACAGGAAAGTTCACATTTATGAGATCTGTCTGGCTCTGATCGGTTAAATGTTTTATTTAAAGAGGCTGACCTGTGCTGCCCAGGTGGATATGAGGGATTTTATCTGATCCAGGTGCATCTGGATGGATTCTGTGTCGGGGATCTGCTCGGAGCGACACAATTCAAGAACAACCTGGAGGAAAGGACGAAAAGGTGGAAGGCTGAGCGAACTGTTCTTCACTCACTCTCTGATGGAGGAGAACCGATGCCACTCGTTTTTGCTCACCCGTGCTCTCAGTCCCAGGAGCAGCTGAGCTTTCTGGTCTGGATTCAACAGTTCTGGCACAAGATCAGTGATGGTGCTGATGAAGTCCTCCACTAATCCGTATTCGTGAAGGTTCCCGCTCTGCACGATGTGCCACATGGCCGCAGACACGAGGCGGAGGGGGGGGATGAAGAGGCGAAGAGACGGCAGCAGGAGAGGCGGATCTGGACAACATTTCACAGAATTAGAAAACCACAACCTTTTTTTAAGCTTTTGCATTGAAATATATTAAAAAAGTCGAGTTTAATCCCAAACATAAACTGAAAATTGGTCAGCATTTCATGGATTAATGATAATTTAAAATACTAAATAGTTTAACAAAATATGAAACAATTACAAAGTAATAAATTTAACTGTAAATGTTAAGTTATGCATTAAATAGCTGGATAGATTTGACGATTTAAAAAAAAAGCCTTTTTTAATGCAACATTTTCATTAGAAACGGTTTAAATAACTATTTAACGATTTGTTTATTATTTGATTTTGATCGTTTTTGCGTTCTGTATTGTACAACTAAAATATGAAATGCAGGAAAAATGCTTTTAACACTTTGCTTTCCAAAAAGTTACTTATTTCTGGTGCTAATCGTTTATTCTCTAACATTTCTGACGCTCACTTCAACTTCTGCTCCAGCCTGCAGCTTGGTGCGTTCACGGACAGAAACACGTGTGGTAAAAACGAACTATAACACCGGTGGAGTCCGACAGTGTGATGGACGCAACATCTGTAGCTGTTTATTTAATAAATCATCTTAAAATACATGTAAGTGAAGAACATAAACCGATGCAGATGATATAGAGATTTTTCTACCTTCAGATCTCAGTTGCTTGCAGCCAGCGTTGCTGACTCTAGTTTTACCTGAAGCCCATGAAGGTAACATTTGTCAGCGGTTAGTCGGTGGCTGTCACGTAAACTAACGATAACCACGATTGAAGCACATATTTAAAGAATGTGAGGATCTTTTTTTTGTTAGGTATTGGTCCGCACTTATTTACGCTCATTCACCCAGTCCAGTTCCCCGGCGTGCGGTGCAACGTAGCAAATACCAACCGCCATCTCAGAGCGGCGTACGCCATGTTTGAAATCGGGCGCACACACTCTGAGAGAAAAACCAACAACTCGGTAAAAACAAACGCTACACAAACGCTCATTGACTTACCGTCATTGGTTGGTTCTGAGCTCTCCATATTGTGCCGAAAAGTACTCAGTTAGGAATATAAATCAATTCGGGGATGTTGTGAGTCGACGTCCGCCCGACCCTGCGGTGCAATCAGCTGCTGGCGGCGAGGAAAAGACGGTTAGATATCCTGTTCATAGTGCGCAGGCGCAGTATGTCAACACATGCTTATTTGATAACGTTTACTGCTTTAACCGTTTTGTATTTTCACACGCTAACACAAGCTATGAATTATTCTGAGATGTTAGGAAAAAAATAAAATTATTTTCAAGCCTCTTGCTTGCAAATATCCTTCTTCACATAATCAATACGGTCTATGTTGCTCACCACCGCCACCTAGAGTAAATTCGGCATTTAATGGCAGGGCAATAATTTAGTATGAAGAGCCAAAAGTGCCAAGAAAATAAAACATTAACTATTCATTGATCATAAAAAAATATATGTGATAGTTTAAATAAAATCAAATATAAATATGTACAAAAATAGTATATTTTTATCACAGCACTTTTAATCACTTTCTGAAATCTGAAAATTAATATATGTCTAAACAAACACTGAAATATATTTGATGATAGTGAAAATATGAGTATATGGGTAATGAGCAATACTTGACAGATTTTTTTAATAGCCATAATTTTAAACAAATGGTCACATTTTGTTTTTATTTATTACCAGTAGAACAAAATGTGCACCTAATTTAGTTATTGGATTGTACATACAAGTAAACCGGACGATGAAATAAACATGGAAATGTATTTTCTATAATAGAAAATTAAAGGAACTATATCCACATGTAGTCATGTATTGAATACATGGTTGAAACAAATGTATTTTTGTAATTTAATATATAGATTTCCAAATGTATGAACAATATACACTAGTCCAACATTAATCCAATGTCAAAGTACAAATAATTTTGAGGGCAACTACATATTTAGAGACTTATTTATTGAATTGTTTCACTTTTGATTAGTTATTAGTCATATTGATTGCTCTAAAACAAAACAAAAAAATCTATTTTTTGGTTTGAAGTTTGTTTTGTGAGAAAGAAATAACTAAGCTTTATTAATTCATGTCAACTGCATAGTTTTTACACAAAAGCAATGAATCTGCATGTAATTTGGATTGATATAAGTAACACTCTTTTTACATAAATTTCACTTAGCACCATCACTGAAGTTCTTGTCTTACAGTTTAATCACTGGTGACAAAAACAAATAATGAAAAACGTTAACTGGAAAGAGCTGGTGACCAAAAATTTAATAAAGACATAGGAATGTCTCAGAAAAATTAGGAAATGTTACAATTTACGAAGAGCAAACAGGAAGCCTATTGATACTCCAACTCAATCTCATTTCCAAAGACCGTCTCAATGTTCTGTTCGTGAGTGACAGAGTGTTCGTTCAGCAGTTTCCTTTGGGAAAAACTGAGTCCGCAGATCTCACACGTGAAGCTCTTCTGTTTCCCATCATGAGTGAGTCTGTGTTTCTGCATGTTTCTGGACAACCTGAAGCGTTTGTCGCAGATTTCGCATGCGTACGGCTTCTCTCCTGTGTGGAGACGCATGTGGATCTTTAAGTAGCTCGACTGGATGAAGGCCTTGCAGCACACTTCACACTTATACGGGCGCACGCCGGTGTGGTACCTGCTGTGCCGCAGGAGCTCGTTGCCGGTCAGGAAGGATTTGCCGCACTCTGTGCACGGAAAAGGCCTCTCGCCCGTGTGAGTGAGCTCGTGCCTTTTCAGCGACATCTCCTTCATGAACTGCTTCCCGCAGGTGGCACATGTGAACCGGATACAGAGGTGGACTTGCTCCACGTGGTTCTTGAGCTGCGCCTTTGTGCGGTAAGCCATGTTGCACTCAGTGCAGACCCAGGGTCTCTCCTCGGAGTGGGTTCCCATGTGCATGGAGAGATCCGAGGCGGCGCGGTACGACTTCCCACACTGCCAGCACAGGAAGGGCTTCTCCCCGGAGTGTTTCCGCCGATGAACTGTCAACAAGGAGGAGGTCCTGAACTTCTCAGGACAACTGTCACAGACAAACGGAAACTCCCCTCTGTGGATCCTCTGGTGGATAATGAGATAGGAAAGTTGGACAAAGGTTTTGTCACACTGAGTACAAGGGAAGGGTCCTGTGAAGTTGTGCTGCTTCTCATAGTGTTCTCTCAGACGTCTTGAGATGATGAACGTCTCATCGCACATCGTGCACTGCATCGGCCTGTGCAACAGCTTGTGCCGCTCAAAGGCGGGTTCGTCAGCCAGGATCTTCTTGCAGTCTTTGCAGTACAACGGGTTGTGAACCTTCTTGTGCACCTTGAGCATCGTTATGCTTTTGAACTCCTTTCCACACTCGTTGCATTTCTTCACGGTCGGTTCCGCTCGGCAAACGGTTTCCTGGTGCTCTTTCAGGGCGGACAGGGACTCAAAGTGTTGGCTGCAGTTTGAGCACCAGACAAATATCTGTTGGAGATCCGTTTCACCTTGATTGGACCCTTTCTTCAGCGAGTAACGTGGGGGTTTGTTGTAGCAGACTGCATAGATCTGGTGTCTTTTGAGTCCGTACAGGTCTTTATAGCGCCTCTTGCAGTGGACGCAGTAATACGGCCGGTCGACCCTGTGAGACTGGAGATGCTTGTTCAAAGTTTTAATCATATCAAACGTCTTGGAACAGACAGGACACACTTTCAGGCCGTCTTTGGACATCTTCAGAACAGGTACACTCTCTTTTGGAGAGACTTCAGATCCCTCCAGATCCATTTCTTCTGGTCCACCAGTATCACCAGTACACTGAACATCAGCCTCAGAGAGAAGCCTCTCCAGTTTCATGCACTGCACCTCCCTGATGCCCTTGTGGCCTTTGAGAGTTTGGTGCTTCTTTATTGTATCTTTGTACTTAAAGCCCTTCTCACACGTGAGGCAGACATACGGTCGTTCTTCAGAGTGAGATCGCAAATGCTTCTTAATGTCTCTGTTGTTCTTAATGGTCATGCTGCAGATGGGACAAACTTTATGTTTAACTGATACTTCAGTAGACAGCAGCATACATGGAGTCAGCTCTGTATTTAGAGGTGGATTGTTTGGAGGTTCTGCTGATACCTCTGCAGTTGTTTCTGGATTTAAGGATTCCTTTTCCTTTTTCTTGGCCATTTTCTCCGCTTTTGTTTTGCAGCTCTTCTCATGTGACTTCAAGGCGTAAGGGTTTTTAAACTTCTTTCCACACAAAGAGCACTGATGTGGGCGCTCCCCTGAATGAGTCTCTATGTGCCGCTTCAGATCACTCTGCCAGGCGAAATACTTCCCGCAGTGAGGACAGGTTTGATTTGTGGCTGACTCTTTGGACTTCCTGGCTCTCGTATTAGTGCCGTCACTCGTCTCTCCCTTTTCGTGGACTCGCATGGTGTGTCGCTTCAAGTCGTACTGGTCCCTGAATCGTTTGTCGCACTTGGCACAATTATGATTGTAGTCGCGCTTTGCTTTGTGAATCTCCAGGTGCCGCCTCATGCCGGCAGCGCGAGGGAACGTCTTGTTACACACAGGACAGGTTTTGCTGTCGTGGTATTTCCTTCGGACTCTTTTGGGTTTCACCGGATCTTTCTTTTCTTTAAAAACTCTTCTTAGTCGGAGCCATCTTGTTTGCTGCGGACGCTCTACGCCGTCAACTGAATCCTGGTGTGGTGCTTCCTGCACAGATTCCTCCATATTTGATTCTCCAGGATCGTCCGGCTGAACTGGACTGGAAGGCCCAACATTGTCAACCTGTGTCACAGTTTCTTCCTCCACTTTGACGGTCAAGGTATCAGGCAACAGCTCCGGCAAAGGCTGTGTCTGTATTGGGTCGGAACAGACCACAAGCTGGTCCAGCTGAGGAAGAGACAAGGATGACAGGATGGAGGTCCCAGTGGAAGATGGAATGGTCTGAGTTTCATCTGTGTGGAAATAAAAACTGTTCAGCCATTTCTACAAACAAGAATTGGCTTGAATTTGTTGAGTTTTCTTCGAATTATACATCCAGTCAGAACTTTACCAGAAGCTCATTGTCCATTTGCAAGTACTACACAGATACTGAAGAGACTCACCGGAAAAATCGAGACATCCGAGCGTTGTGTGGTACCGCAGAGCAGCTGCCAGGTGCTGTTGGTCGGGGACGGAGTGAGCGGACTCCTCCAAGGCAGAAGGCACTGCACTCAGGATGGATGCAGTCTGGAAAGTTTGAATTTTGAGGGGGGAAAAAGTCAGTATTTTGAAATTAAGGTCTGAATTTTGAGATTAAAGTCAAGCATTTTGAGGAAAAGAGTCAGAATTATGAGAAGAAATTTGGAATTCTGAGATTAAATTGAGAATTTTGAGATTAAAGGCAGAATTTTACAATTTAGGTCTAAATAGTTAGAATAAAAAAAATCAAGAATTTTGAAAAAGATAAATCAGAAATATGAGAATAAAGTCTGAATTTTGAAATTAAGGTGAATTTTGATCAAACTCAATAACTACAAAAAAACGACAGAATTATCAGAATAAATGTGGAATTTTGGGATTAAATAGAGAATTTCTAAATTAAAATGAGAATTTTAAAATTTAGATCTGAATTTTGAGGTTAAAATCAGAATTATGAGAAATAAATTTGGAATTCTCAGATTATATTGAGAATTTTGAGATTAAAGGCTGAATTTTAAAATTTAGGTCTAAATAGTGAGAATGAAAAAAAATCAAGAATTTTGAGGGGAAAAAATCAGAAATAGATTAAAGACTGAATTTTGAAATTAAGGTGAATTTTGTTTTTAAAAAATATCTCATATTAAGGTCTACATTTTGACAATAAAGTCTAAATTTTGAAGTCAGAATCCTGAGATTAAATGTGAAATTTCTTATTTTTTTCAAAGCTTCTGTGGAATACGCATTACACAGCATGTTGAGAAAGAACGGAGGTGACGGATGATGAAGCTCCAGCTCTTCTACCTGCTGAATATCAGGAACTGGAAGAAGCTTCTCCAGTCTGGACACAAAGTCCAGCATCAGCATCCGCAGAGCGTTGTCAAAATCAGGTCCAAAATCTGTGGGGAAAACATCCTGCAGGACAATGATCACAGTTCACCTATAAATGCATCTTATTGCCAACCAAACATCAACTTCTGGTCCTATACCATGCCGTTCCTGACAAACCTGGAAGAACTTCTTCCTCTCCTCAGGGTGCTTCAACATCAGCTCCACCTGATCCACAAAGTTTGTCTCGGGAAAACTTACATCTGCAAAGCAAGGCTGGAAATGAGACGCACAGCTTCAGTTAAAGAATCGAGTGAATGATCCAGAAGACATCATGTAAGGAACCAACCTGCGCTGCCCATGAGGACATGAGGGTTCTGATCCGATCCAGATGCATCTCGACAGATTCTATGTCTGTGGACTTCTCCGAACGACACAGTTCAAGAACAAGCTGCAAGAAAAGACGTCATCTCAAACACTTTATGCAGGTCACAGATCAGCATTTTTGTACGATTAATAAGTGTCTCTGTTTACTCGTGCTCTGAGTCCAAGAAGGAGCTGGACTTTCTGCTCTGGGTTCAACAGTTCTGGCACAACATCTGTGACTCTGCTGATGAACTCTTCCACCATCCCATAATCCTGAACGTTCCTGCTCTGCACCGTGTGCCACATGGCTCCAGAGACTAAACGGAGGGGAGGAATGAAGAGGCGAAGAGACGGAAGCTGGAGAGGCAGATCTATAAATAAAGATTTAAACTTGTTGTTTTTGCATTTTGACACTGAAAAACGATGTTTTCAAAAATCCGGCCTTCAGTTTTGAGCTGAATTTTAAAGAATATGTTACACTAAAAGTGGAAAAGTTAATATGAGTATGTTCACCTGTGAATACCTCTATATTTTATTCTATGCTTAAAAAACAACAATAAATGCATATATTATGAAGAGATACATGTAAAATATCTTTTAAAAAGACAATTTTAAAACATTTATTTATTTTTGAGGTTCTGAGTTTATTATGAACACAATTAAGCAATCATTTAATGATATTTTTTAACGATTTATGGCATTTCTTGAGCTCCATATAGCTTAGCAACAAGTCAGGAAATCGTGTTGCCCCGTGATGCATTCAAAAGTGACGTAAAGTCCGAGCAAGATGATCTACCTAACTGATTAATAACAACAGCGGTAAAAGTTCAATAGAGACTAAAATGGCATTTACAAGAGATAATTATCTTTTATAAGATAGCTCAAATGTAGCTTTCCAGAAGGTAGCTAAGCTTTCAGACGGCAAAAGGTAACAGTCGAAGTTAAACCCTCTAGAAGTATTTAGTACTCCTTATGATAAGCGGTCACAGCGTAAGTTAAGTTTTAGTAATTTACAATTAATTAAAACATGACGATGCTTAGAAGTTAGCTAACTTCTAACATAAACTTTAAGTCTAAATTGAGTACACAGCATCTTCCTGGTGGAGCAACACGGCACCGAAACGCCGTCAACATCCCGAATCGAGCTACGCCATATTGAAAATGGGGCGCACACGCTCCAAAACATCAACTAATAACTCGTTAAGAACAACGAGTGCTGATATTCTAGATGGCTTACCGTTTTCTATATGATCCGGGCTTTCCATGTTGTTCTGTAAAGTTAGCAATCTGAATAAACAGTTTACCTCGACACTGTTTCAGGTCGACGTACACACAGACCTGCAGAGCAAACGGAGAGACAAAAAGGAAGGGCGGCGCGGTGGGTTATACGTACGGCGCATGCGCTGTAGCAGAATATAGGTCAATACATTCTGCCGTCCAAAAGTTCGCTTGCAGCAGCACAATAATAATACACATCGGTTTTAACGTTAATTTATAAGAGGATTTAATTACCGTACTGTGGAGGAAACACAATATATTGGTGATAATAAGTTTAACGTCGCTATCAAGAGATCATTTCATGGAATGAGGAAAATTACTTATACTTTTTAATAGATATACGTATATAATTGCGCTTTTTGATGTCAATAGTGCCTCGGAAAATACTATTAAACTTAATTTTGACAGATTTTAATTGCATTTCTTTGAAATCAACACATTTTGCACACATTTTTAATGTCAGAAAAAGGATTTGGCAAGTTTTTCCATATACTTTTGCTTAGCTTAGCCCACAAATACATATTCCTCTCACAAAAACAAGGAAAAAAGACAATTAAGACTTTAGATCTTTTTAAACTGAGGTCTTTATTAGCTGTCCACAATATCATGTCATGGAACGACAGAAACCGTAGCATGAGTGTAACATTTCTCTTTGTTGTTTAACTCCACCACATCTCTGCTTCTTACACCATGTATAATTTATATTTTATATATATATGTATATATATATAATTTGTACAATGTACATTTTCCCTTCAAAGGAACAGAAGTAGCAAAAGTTTCATCCCCATGTGGATTTAAACTAACCCATGCAAGTTATCACTGTGTCTAGGGAAAATTAGGTATATTACCAGTAACAAATACGGAGGATAATAAATGCTCAGACAAACACAAAGGAGGGTGTTGAGACAAAGCTGCTGTACAGAACACATTCCCAACAACATTAAACAAGAAGAGCCATGCAAACTGACATTTACTCTACAGCTTTGACCCATTTTGGGCCAGAAATGCCAGAAATGGGACAAGCTAAGCTGTTTTTTTTTTTTTTTTGCTACTGGCATAACATTAAGACTAACAGAAACAGATAAGCATAAAATCTTTGACTTTATTTTCATACTTTAGTTGCTGTTGGGTCACAATAATACTTTAACTCAAGCTCACTGGTAAAATACTCTGATTGTGTGAGGCTACATTAACACTGGCACAAAAAAGTGCTTTGACATCATCATGAACCTTGGTTTGCATCAGGTTATATATATCTTTCAAATAAAGCGTTTCCACTAAAATATGTGACTATGTGAAGATTCATTTAAGTTATTAACATACAGTAAACTCTTTAAAGCATTCAGGGTAAAATAAACAAAAACACACCATGGGGTGCCACAGATATTTGACCAAAAATATATATATTTAAGCAAATTTCAGTCACTCGTTTAGCTCACATTTACACCATAGCTAACCTCATGGGAACACAATCTGATGTAAATATTGCTTCTACTAAATGTCTTAAAGCATTATTAAATATAATTTTTTCAAAACTGCTGAATGTAAAATAAAATATATACTACTATGCATGTAGATAAGAAAATAAAACTGTAGTATAGCATCTATAATCTGTCAATATTTATAGAAGTTCATATATTATGTTAAGATTTTCTCACAATTTAGGCTAAAATATGGATGTCATTTTGAGTGTGCTACAGAATTATATTTCATAAGAATATAAATGGTGATTGATAGTGAAACAAACATTACATGTAAAAATGAAAACTGATTTGACTGTTGCATTTGGTCTGTTGCTGGAAAAAATTGCACAATTTCTTAATCTCCAACCGCTTTGTGTTACATTCATTAAATAGATTTCAGCCGTATATTAAAATACAACTGAATGCATAAAACTAGAGAACCTCTTAATGAATTGTCAATATTTGAACAGAAAAACTGTTGGTAAATATTAGGGACCTCTGGTGGCATTAAGAGAATTACTTGGTATTTACCGTTTTGAAAATATGAAAAAAAATATGGACCCTTTTCGCGTGACGTCACGCTCCGCCATGACGGACATCAAAGCAACCATTACGCTCCTGTAAAGGCTGTCACAAAACAGACACCCGGAAGTCTAATATCGCATTTTATTTCACTTTTAAAATGGTCAGAGTGCTGCGCGGTCGTATAGAAACCAAACTTATTTTATTTTATAACTTATATATGGCGGCGATGGATAGCAGCTGTCAATCATGACTCAGCCTTCAGTGTAATCGCGGATTTGCAGCGAACATTTTTTTTTTTACAACTTAAGAAGATTAACGTTCATACACTTTATAAGTATATATATAATTAGAAAGATAAATTATTCGCACTATGGAGAAGGTGCGTCTAGCCATTGGTAACCATGGAAACAATGCCGCGCCGTCATGTAGCCTAGCATGTACGAAAAAAAAAATGGTTAGCATCTTCTCTTTTGTATGTTTATAATATTGCTACGGTGTAAGGAAAAGCGCTGTTTATGACATAGTGATATAAATCACGTGGTGTGAATTCAGGCAAAGTCGGTAATTTGATCAACACGTCACCAGGGAGGAGATATGGGTCGGGTTCGAAGCTAGCCGTTTCCAATTTTTGTAAATACCGTCGTCAATGAGGCCCAACCAGCTGAGTTACGTTCACAGACAAATTAACTCGACTCGAACAAGTAGAATCCACGAATAAACTGGAAAAAAACAACTTTGGAAAACAATTGCAATCGTTCTGTTAAATACTCTCATCCCTCACTTCCGACGTCCAACATGGCGCCTCGAATGATAGAGTGACGTAGTTGTTAAGGGTCAACACCGTATGAGACAGTTGTGTGGAAAATTCAGGACTGTGAACAAGGTATTCTTATATTCAATGCATAAATTACCAAGAGATGTTTTTTTATTACTTTTGTTAAATTCACACTGTGTATTTAGTAGAGTTAATTTTTTTAAACTGCTAATTAATTTCCTGGACGGTTTCTTGATTTTCTATACATTTTTTCCTTACGATGGATGATCAAAATGTTGTAAAACCCATGCTACACCAGCAGGGGGCGATCATAGATATGTACTTGATTAAAATCCATCGTGTTTTCTTCAACTCATTTCACCGTTTCCTCTCAGAACATTTTCAGCTTGTATTTTAATTTTATGACATCAAAGCATATAGGTAGGAAGAAAACATAACATTTACTTAACTGTTGCAGCTTTTAGTACTGAAATACTGAGGGAATGCAGAAACTGGGTGCTTTTTAATCGTTTTACGACATCCAGACCATTCAGATGCAACACAATTTAAAAAAAATAAGTTTTGCAAAATATTTGGCATGATCTGCAAGGAGCTTTAATAATTAAGTATTTCTGTCATTATACATTCATGTGAAAATACGATTCCCTCCAACAAGATTCAGTGTTTTTCAGAAAAATTTAGACTTGAAGGTATTTAATATATATATATATACACAACTAAAATTTTAAATAATTTAAATAAACAATAGAAGAAAAGACTGTCAAGTTTTTTTTAGAAGGTTTCCACTTTTAAATCTCAGACATCTTTAGTTTGGTTACTGTTTAAGTGAGAGAAAAGATATATAAAAAAAAATAGACATCTCAGAATAATTTGTAATCAGATTTCAAAATAAAACTGCTGACATGTCCATGTTGGCCGACAAAGCATGTTCACCCTGAGAGCAGACAGTAAGATGCTAAAAGTCTCCAAAAACCCTAAAATGTCACCACACAACCCACAGCAGGTTTGTGTTACTTTTTGATATGAAAGTGTAAGGAAGAAACTTCAAGTTTAACTTTATTGATGCTCTCAAAGAGAAACATGAAGATTTAAGTTCGCAAGAAAGACCAGGAAAAACATTTTCACAAGTCTGAAATTTCTCTTGATATCTTTCATTTAGTTATGAAGACGATGTTCATTTTTGTTTTGTAAGCGCAACTGTATCACTTTGTTTTCCAGAAATCAACATAAATTTGATTAGACATCAAATTGCTAAAATTTTCTTAGCTCCTTGTGATGTGCTGGACATTATTTATTATATTTCAGTTTCATCTTTGGCTTCTTACTTATAGTTTCATTATTTTTTGTTTAATTTTTGGAAAGCTAGACTTTTTTAAAAGTTGATCTTTATATTTCCTCCACCTCTTCCTCCCTTTCACCACCAAACAATGACAGTAAAATATTATTTTGTGTGTAACTTCAATTCAATACTAAACAGCTAAAATAAATTAATACACAGATGGTAATTTAAATGCTGCAAACTAGCATGAATCTTGTAATCTATCCTGATAATCTGGGATGCTTCAGAGCAAAAATAATTGGAGGGGAAACCCTTCGGTTCAGCTAAAACTGGAGCAACCGGCGTCCCGCAGCGCAATGTTGCATAACACACAAGTCATACAGATGGATTAAACATGCAAGCTTGCATAATCCGGACGCACAGCGGGGAGCACGTTTAGTGAGGCCAGTAAGTGTGGGGATTTTATACCGGCGTACAAAAACGATGACTTCCAGAAGATATTTACAGTCTGCGTTCAAAAACGTGGTCCGTCTCCAGAATCCCGCTCTGTCTTGTGGCGAATAAAAAGTTAATAAGCAGCAATTTCTTTTACTTCCCGCTCAGAAAAGTGGTCCATGAAGTAAGCTGTGCATAAAAAAAGCAACATAATGGCAGCTCAGTAAAGGAGGAGTCATGCAAAAAGACGAATTATTTCCCGTGTTTTCGGAATCAAGTCAGCATAGATTTCGGGTTTATTTGAACCGGCTCGGCGGCGGCGGCCACGGCGGAAGTTCCTGTGATCAGTTTGGCTTCTGCAACATGGCAGATAAAACACAGTGAAACGTGTCCAGCAAAAACACACCGACAGACTGAGATGTAAGCAAGTCCACCTTAAAAAGTCCTCACATTGCTACGGGCCGTATAGCAGGGATTTCATTTGCTGCTGCCATGGCGTCCACTTCCAGAAAATGTATCGTTTGTATTGAATGAGTAAAACTTCTACTTTAGTTTCTGAGTGAAAAAAGTGTAAAATATGTATTTCATGCATATGTTCTGTATGAAACACAGTTGGATTATTGTGAACGAGGCGTCTTGACCGAGTCGGGTTTGTTTTTATCCGCAGTGAAGTGAACAGCCGTCAGGACAGAGGCTCAAGGCAAAGAAACAAAGTTAAGTCACAAACGTCTACATCAACGTTCAACAAGCAGCAGAATTAAAGGGAAATCCTGGCGGTAGATCGTCCGACAGCAGTTTGACGTGGGCGGGACAGTGTTTGCTAAAACGGGCGTTACATCGATGCTGCGGCTGGATGGGAGCGCGGCGGGCGGCGGTCACACCACCGAGCCCTTGGAGGTGGAGAGGTGGATGGAGTGGATGCGAGTGGCCAGCGTCTTCTCCAGGTCGTGGAGGATGTCGGAGCAGAGGCCGGGGCTGGACGCGGGGCTCTCGGCGGCGGACGGCTCGTACAGGAGCTGCTTGAAGGCGTCCAGTTCGATCAGCAGCACCATGTTCTTCAGGAAGTAGCCCTCGATGAATGCAGTTAGCTCCAACGCACCGAGAAACTGCAGAGAGAGAAAAAGGTGGAAAAATGCAGCATTGAAAAATGGGGAAATATCAGTTTTTTCTTTTTATTTACTTTAAGTTATCCGATTTGTTTTTGCAAAATGTAAAGTCATTCTAAACGTGATCTGCTTTGGAAAATGTGAATAAATAGAAACCAATCATATCTCAAAAAAACCTTAAAATCAAACAGTTTGTTATGACTTATAATTTCTTTAAAAGTCTTCATCTTGACCACAAAACTCCTAAAACTGAATAGTAATTTAATTAGTTTACTGGTTTGTAACTTTGATTACATACATTTTATTACAGGCACTGATCACATTTTTCCTCTTTTTGGACCAGAATCCACCTGCTGGCATTCACTTTTTTCTCTTTTCATTCTTTTTTTCTTCTTGCTTTTGTCAAGACAACGGCGAGTTAGAGCCTCTCAGAAATCAGCTGTCAATGGAGGCATTAATAGATGAGGGAGGAGATGAGCAGGTGCATTCACAGTCTGAGGCGTGTTCCCACCTTGGCGTGTTTGTAAAGGTCCACGCAGGTTTCAGTGGTGATGTTCTTGGAGCAGATGATCTCACAGTGTCTCTGAAGGGCCTCTAGTTGGAAGAACTTGGCTGCAGACAGGAGCTGCAGGGAACGGTACATGCAGGATTAAATAAAAACAAACTCAAAGTGATGACGCTGCCATGCAAACCCTCTGCAGTACCTCCATCACTTCTGTGTTGCGGATGTGCAGAGACTCTGTGCCTCCGCAGTACAGATACTGCATGACCAGCTGCAAGACAAAACATGCCAACACATTTAAAAGTAAATAAAAGGCTCCAGATCCAGGTTTTTCATATACCAAAAATACTTTTTTTAATAAAATCTGAACAGCTGTTGGTATCATGTAAAAGAGTGATTGTACTTTACTGGAACAAAACAACAGGACCGAGTATCGATCACTGGATCAGGAAAACTGAGTTATTTGAAAACATTTGGAGATCCCTCAGGATATTTGTGGACTTTTCTCTACAGGAAAGAGTTTAATTATTATCTCCTGTATATATTTAAAAATATATAGATATGTATCCAAGAGGCGCTTATTGTGTTGATTATATTAGCTACATATCAAAATATGTGCAAAAATTCACATGGAAAAAGTAAATGAAAAGATCTGGGATACAGTTTTACTGTAGGGTTTCCTCCAGTGTTTTATAAGCCTGGCGGGCCACCAGGCTTTACTTGTGCCCCCACCAGGCTAAGCATTGCTTTTTTTTATTTAAGTCTTTTTAAAATGTTTACATTTTTAAGACTTTATGGTTGGTGTTCAGGCATTAATCTTCCAATCTTTTAATGACACATAATTATCAAGTGATATTTTCAAATTTCCTGTCAACTTTAAACATTTTTTAACTTAAAAACACGACCAACTGCTGGATGAATGACTGGCCCAACACCCAACCACCGGGCTCAGCAGGTTTTCTGGGGAAGCTTCCAGTCTTACACATATATAACCTGCTAAAAATAAATAAAAAATCAACTTCTTACGTGGAAAATGTTGTATTTGACATGGCTGATCTCAATGCATGTGTTTTCTGCTGCTGGTCTGTTCTGGAGCAGAGACTTGAACCTGGTTGAAACACAAAACGTGTCAATTTTTCCATCTTATTGACTAAAATCAAGCATGTCTGCATGCAGCTTCCCAGTACCTGGCTGATGCTGTAAACAGCAGCACCTTGTGTGCATAAAACGGTTTCCCCTCCACCAGGAAGGTGACGTCAGACATCTCCTTGTTGTTCAGGAAGTGCGGGTCTGGGAAAAACAAAATGCTTTTATGCAAGAAAACTAATTATGAAGAGCAGCAAACAGCAGAAGAAAAAGCTGATGTTGGTTTTACATCGAGGTTCCGCTCCAAAATAAACAATTACTATTTCATTTGTTTTCCAAGCTGTTGTTCCAATGAGTCTCTAAAACATTTCTCTAAAACCCTCATTAACGTTTGGCTCCTTCTATGCTTCTTTTCTGATGTAAACAGCAGGTGGCGGTGCAACACTGTGCAAGTTTCCTGCTTAACTTCAAGGTAAAAAGTTATTATTCCCAGCAAGTGTGAACTGAATTAAAGTAATAAACAGAAGCACAAAATGGATGACTTAAAAAAATTATAATAATGATGTATCATTTGTTTAGTTTCAAGATGAGTTAAAACCTAAAAATGATAAATTTACCATTTAAAAACCTACATGGTATTTTTAGGAATTGAATTAAATGGTACCTGAATAAATCCCTACAGTATTAAAACATTTACATTTAATTTATGAAGCTATTTTCATCTACTTCATAATCACAAAAAGAGAGAAATCTCAACGTTACTCACTTCAGGATGTAAAAACCAACAATATAAAAGCTTAATATTATAATGTTTATTTAATTAGGGGTTGTTTATTTGAGTAAACGGCTAATAATGATAATTAGCAACTATTAGCTGCACTTTGCTGCCCAAAATTTACATTGTTGCGATTATTCCCTGTTTTGTAATAAAATAAATATGTAAATATACAATTATTTGTATCATATTTTTTCATTATTTAACATACAATTTAAATGCTAAATTTAAATGTAACATTTAAATTTAAGTTATAAATATAAATGATGAAAAATGTATGCAAAGTTGCTCATCATTTCCAATTTCTACAATTCTACCCATCTATAAATTACAGATTAATACTAATATTAATAATTTGCTCTCTGTTATTGACTAATGTCGTTAAAATGCATCAAATCCAAAAATACAAATAATTTGCTATATCAGCTGCAGATCAGATCAACCATGATTCAGCTGTTCACACTCTGACCACTAGATGGTGGTAAAACACTTCGAATAGGATGATCAACAAGCGGAGCGTATATGGGACAAAGGGAAAGAAGATAGATGCTGATTTGCGACAATCGTCCACAACGATATCAGAAGGATTTAAGACACAAAAGAGTCAGAAACACATGGAAATAAATAAAAAATGATTCTGTTTCCACAAAGTGAAGGCTCACCCAGGCGTGACGTCTGTTTCTTCTTGATCTCTGTCAGTTTGGGGATGGGGAAAGGTCCGTAGCACTGCGTGAAAATGACCGACAGCTGCTGGCTAATCACTTCATTCTGCAGACACACAGCAGCAGCACCGTTAGGGACAACAACTTTCCACATGCTGCGGCTTTAAACCCCTTGGTTTCCCCCTGCTAATCCTGAAAAAACATCATGCAAATGAGGAAGCTGATAGATTCAGTTTGTATTCCCAACAAGCCAGCCCGTCTTTTGTCTGTAGTCTGAACAAGCGGTTTGCTGCTGTGAAGGGAAGCCCCCGGCGACCTTGCTGGTTCGCAGGATCTGGAACATGAGCGGCAGGCCGTGTGTGATCAGCTCCTCCGTGTACTCGTCCTCCTGGATGCAGCTGAAGTCTTTGAGCAGACCCTGGATCAGCGGCCGGCGGTTCTGCATGAAGCAGGTGCGCAGGGACTCGAGCCAGGTGTGCAGCGTCCAAGGAACGCCTGGGAAAAACACACACGCACACACAAAATAAACCGCAGAGAGTGAATACAGAGAAATGGAGAAAAACAAGGGTAGAGTCACAGGAGACAGACGGATCATGTTTCTGCACTGGATGTCATGAGTGTTGGGTTCGTGGGAAATCAGAGGTAAAACAAATGGAGAATCTGAGTTTAATTAAAAGTGCTTGTTAATAACGGCTCTAATGTGATTGATGGAAATGAAGTGAGCGTAAAACACAGCAAGGCAGAAAATTAGCTGCTTATTCTCTGCCTTCATAATGATGAAGATGGGTTTAAAAATCTTAAAGCTGCAGGCTTCTTTACAAAAATATGTTTTTTACAAATCTGTTAGTCTCTGTGTCATGCCAGTGTGTCTATTGCAGTCTGAAGAAATGCACCGCTCCCGGTCAGAAGCAACCAATCAGAGCCGGGAGGGGGATTGTAGCGCTGTCAATCATGCTCGTGTACACTCTGTTGAATGTACTAATGGTGGAGAAACGACTTATCTGGGATATTTAAAATGTCTTCCAGTTGTGGTGTTAAACATTCATGAGAATTTAAAGTTTATTCATCTTTGAGAATGTGTTCTGGAAAACAGTCTCAAACAACGATATTATTGTTTATCGTAAGAATTTCTGTGGACAATTTATCGTCTAGATAAAATCTGTTATCATGACAGACCTTCGCACACCACTGAGGTAATTTGTTTACACTTTCCTTTTCCCTCTACCAATGTTCATCCTGTTTGTATCAAAGCCAAAGTTCTGGCTTCCCGGCTGATTCACTAAAACGTGGAGGTGAATGCACTGGACGCTGACAGCGGCCACATTTAAAACACGAGAAGCGAGGACAAAGCTCCATCATCCTGTTCACACCTTTGACCCGTTACTATGGCCTCAGATAAAACGGCTCCTGTTTTACGGTTGGGCGAGCTGCAGTGGGTGGGAACAGGACGGGACAGGACGGGCACAGCATGAGCACATCTGCAGGACAGCTGGAGGCTTGTGTGCCACTGAGGCATGCATTAGTAAGTCTGACCTAAGCTGCGGATGTCAATGGTGATGTCCACATGGCCATGCTCTGCGCTATGGTACATGGCCTCTCTCAGGGCCCGCAGTTTGGCCTTTCCTGTTCGCAGCGTCCCGCTGCAGTTGGCCTGCGGAGCCAGCCTCTTCTCCCCGGGATCTGAACCCTCGGCCAGGATCTCCTCCAGTGACAAAACGTCCCCCTTCTCCTTCTCTGAGTGGGACAGGAGCTTCCGGAAAACATTCCTGCACAATAGGGAGACAAAACGCAGAGTTGTACCATGGGTAAAAAAAACAAAACAAACAAGATTAGCTCTTTCAATTCACGCAGGAGCACTACAGCTATTTCTCTTGGTAACCAGAAAAATCCTCAGCTGGTTTTATTTAAATTCTGCTTTATCCTCTGAAAATGTTACAGTAAATCAAAATGAGTATGCACATGCAGATATATTAATCTATAAATGAGCGCAGAGAAAACTTAAATTTAAGTTACTCAGAGCTGTAAAGTCTGATGGCTGCAGGCAGAAATGATTTCCTGTGGTGCTTTTTGGTAAAATGAGGGTTAAAAACTGGACTTAGAGGAACAAAGTTTTGCACATGTTTGTAATAGAAACACAGCTGGGTTTATTTCGATAGAAAACTTTTTAAACTAATGTGAAAAACTGAGCTTAACCCTCATCGGCCAAGTTTTGGTATATTTTTAATAAATTCTCTCTAGATGACATTTGTTGTGAATTGGCGCTTTATAAATAAACTGAACTGAGTCTGGTGTTTGTGCACCCCCTTTCTAATGCCACTCTGGGCAACTGCCAGATCAAAACTGCCAAAGATATTTAAAAAAAATCATGATGTAAATGAAAAATCGACTCATGACCCGTCACTGCATTGCTGCAGCAGTGGTAACAGAAGCCCTGGTCTGAATGGATTCTAACAAATGCGGCGTGATCCCAGTTCGATAACGCATCATTGCTCCATCTGCTGCAGCGAGTTGGAGCGTGCAGCGCCGTGAAGCTGATCAATGTCGGGCTAGAGGTCTGTGCATGTAGAGTTTCATGTTTTCTATTCTGATTTTATGTTTTGGGGATGATTATTCTCTGTTCCTTCATCTCAATCTTTGATTAGATCTTGTTTCTGTTTCTTGTTACTCCAGATTAATTACAGTTCTTAGTCCTAGTAGTTCTTTATTATTAGATTAATTTCCTAGTCTCATGTGTGCTTCTCGTTCGCCCCGTGTATTTAAACTCTTCTCCTGAAAAAACACAAACTCTCACCAAGTATTTTTAATCTAGTTTCTAGGACAAATATTTTGTACGCTTGAAATAAGACAAAACTAATTTACAAATAACATTTCAGAAAGACACAGGAGCTTGTTTTAAGTAAATAATTCCTTAATAGTAATGAAAAAGTTACAGTTTAGATGGATATCTTTATTTATAATATGGGGAAAACGTCTTGCTATAGTTACTGGACTATTGAATAAAAACAAGCTTGTTTAAAGGTTACTTATAAGTTAGTTTTGTCTTAGTTTAAGTAATATTTACCCTAGAATACTTGGTAGGATTTGATGTTTTTACAGTGTTCTAACTTATTTACTATACAATTTGATCAAAATAAGAGCTTTATTGATATTTCACTTATAAAATTAAAACAAGCTCCTATATCTTGCTGAAAAGTTACTTTTAAGTTAGTTTTGTCTTATTTCAAGTGTATTAAAAATATTTGCACTTCAATAGACCAAAGATATTTGGTAAGATTTTGTATTTTTTGCAGTGTATTTTACACTCTTTGCTGGTTAATCTCGTTATTTTTTTCCCCTTAAGCATTCTTCATTTACTCGGACTTTTCTACTTTCCTCCACCATCAAAACACGACAGATTTTAGATCCTTAAAAATGATCGCTGTCAAAACTAAATTAAAACTGAACATTACATATAGTTAGTAGCCTTAATCTGCAGATAATCTGCGTGAGAAGAACCAGCCCTAATTCAGTCTCGGCCTCTTTACAACACATCGCAGCGTGATCACCACTCCATAATTGATTGTCTTAATAATGCTGCATTGTGCTGCTGCCGTCGCTCTCCGCTGCACTTCATTTCCCCGCCGCCCTGAATGCTAATAGGTTTTATCTTATTCAGGCCGTAAAGTGCAGCCGAACACATCGTCACGGAAACGGAGATATCTCCCGTGAGGAGCAGATTGAACGGATGTGAAGGGATCGATACTGTGGTGATCAGAGACGAAGATACAATATAGAAGCTGTGTTTTAATTTTGACTAGAACTAATTAAAGTTTCTAACAGCTTAACAGCAAGAAAGATAAAATAATATGTTATATTTATTTGAATGCTCTCTTTCTCTCTGTTCTGATTAAAATTGAAAATCTCACCTTTATTTAATGTAACGTCCATGCGCTTATCCTTCTCCACAAATGTTTCTGTCATTCTGTTATGAGAAAACTTTCTTGTTTCTCATTTTTAAAAGTCTGGGAGCCAAAAAGAGCGGCTTTACACGGTTCTGCTCCATCTGTTTCCCCCTCCCGACTGTTTTCAGTCTTTTCAAAGCGTAGAAGAAGAGCGCCTGCTGTTCGTTGCGTCTATGGGGCTCAGCACTGCCCCCTGTCAGTGAGGCACGGTACTTTATACTAGCTTTATACTAGTATAGTAACTCATTTTCGCTTTGGGCCAAATCATGATCATGAATGAGCCGGTTGTGCAAGAATGTAAAACTTGTTCACAAACTGATAAAATATTAATAAAATCTTAAAATTAAAAATTATTGAACATCTTTTCAGTCCCTCCAGGATTTCATGATTCTTTTTGTGATGTTATGCAATAAAAATCAAAGTGTTTGTGGTACTAATTTGGAAATATTTGCAATATTTGCGCTTATTTATGCTGGTATTTGTGACTTTTTATTACTCGCGAAAATATCACTAAATAATTATGTTTTCTTTTCAGATTAATACCTGAACACCAACTAAAAAGACTTAAAAATGCAAACATTTAAAAACAAATTAAATAAATAGCAATGCTTAGCCTGGTGGGAGCACAAGTAAAGCCTGGTGGCCCGCCAGGCTTATAGTACACTGAATGAAACGTTGCTTCTAATTCAAGTAAAGCACTTGTTGCTGAAAATGTGCTATGTAAATAAAATTCTTACTTCACCACATAAAAAGCCTTGACCATAAAAATGGTGAAATTACCACAAAAAAAAAAACAATTTATAGAAAATTCAATGATTTTGTTAGCATTGTTAGCATGTATTTTACTCCCTATGGCCTTATTTTCACTCATAGGATTGCAGGTGTATTTACGTTGATTGACTTGTTTCACCTGTGTCCGTGCGACGCTGCCAGGCTGAACGAGTTCATGTCTCCCAGCGGAGTGGAGGAGATGCCATTGCGACACATAGTGCCGATCATGGGGTCTGCTCCTCTTTCCAACAGCAAGCTCACCAGCTCAAAGTTTCCTAAAAGAGAGAAAATTATAGATTTACAGAATTAGAAACCACATCAGTTTACTTCTGCTCTGTTCTTAAAGGTCAACAGTTCAAATGTTAGCATGGAAACAAGCCTAATAACTTAAAAATAATTAAGTTAATTTATTTATAATTTTGCAATATTTGTGCTTATTTATGATATTACATGCGACTTTTCGTGGCTCGCCATATTGATCACGGACTATCTGACATCAATTAAGGCTGAGGCAGCAGTGTGTTAAAAGTAAGAAATACTGCCCCCTACAGGAGAGTTAGCGTCACAAAAACCAAATGATTTGTAACATTTTTGCAGAAAATTAGCAATAAACTTACATCTGTGCACTAGTATGAAAAAATGCTGGGATCTGTTGACTTTATGCGAATTTCCACACAGAAATTTTTAGAAAACTGGAGAGACTGACTGATCTAATTTAGCTTTAGCATCTGGGCCTGTCAAGTAAACAAATTATGCTGGACGATAAACTGTCCACAGAAGTTATTGCAATAAACGATAATATTGCAGTTTGAGACCATTTGGTAATGGCATAATAATAATAATAATAATAATAATAATAATAATGCAAGAACACATTAAGATCAATTAACTTTAAATTCTAATGAACATTTCACACTTGAACTGGAGAATATTCAAAATAAATAAACAGAACAAATAAAATGAATAATAAAGTCTCTATAAACAAAACTATCCTTCAAAAAGCATAAAAATGAAGATTTTTGTCATCTAGTTTTTGGTGCAAAGACAGAAAAATGACAAATAATTCAAATGGAAATGATTGAGTTTGTTTAAATGTATCATGCGATTAATTGATTTATTGAGTTTGACACGTTAAGTGGTCCTCAGCCTGAAAAAGTTTGAAAAACACTGCTCTAGTTTCTAGTGCAGACTTCAAATAACACAAACTACCTTAAAAGTAACTTTTCAGGAAGCAATAGGAGCTTTTTTAAAGTAAATAATTCCTTAGTATTGACGTGTCAGATTACAGTGTGTGCTGCTTCACCTGCAGCTGCAGCAAGCTGGAGCGGCGTCTCTGTGTAGTTCTCCGCCCCATCCTGCAGGGCGCCCTCCACATTGGCTCTGTTATCCAGCAGTAACTGTGGGAGAAATGGAGGAGGGAAACAAACAGGACAGGAGAGGGAAAACAAGCGAAGGAGACACGGGGTGTTACATTTCGGTTTGGCGAGAGTAAAAGCCTCGGCTGCTGGACAGACTCTGAATATGAATCACACTTCCAGCCTCGGCTTCTGGTTCAGTTCTGCTACTGATGTTGAGCTGAGGAGGAAGAATTTCTTTTCCTGGAGACAAAACTCTGATTGTTGGCATAAATATTAATAGCTTAAAGATCCTGGAGGCAACAATGTGCAACAATAACTACTACTCCAATAAAAGATATCTTATACTAAGAGTGGAAAGACACTCTGTGTCCCTGCGGCTCTGTATCATCCTGCCTGAGCTGCGCTTTTCAGCTCAGCTTCAGGAGTTTTCTGCTTGTTAAATGTCGGGACATAACTGTACATCTAGTTAACGCCCCCTAAAAGGATAGCTCAGGGTTGTTTCCAGCTGGGGTTTTGTGAAGTAGTTATCAGTAGTCAGCATCTCACTTGATCTAGAAAGAAGTGTTTATGTGCGAAACTTTAATTATTTAACCCTTAATTTCAACACATGCAAACAAGAACATCAACTGAACAATATAACAGCAAACATGACTTTAAAGATATGCTGGCTGATACTTTAAGGCACAAGCTAACGCTGCGTCTTACAATCACAATGTCTTTGTATTTTAGAGCAGGAATGACATGTTTTTTGAAAAGTGTGCTACCTATTTGTTCCGTTTTCAACCCCTTTTACTCTGACACATTTAATTAAAATCTATAATGTCTATTTCTAAGAAATGTCCAGATTTTTCTGAGATTAATCATAACACTGTCATAAACACAGCACCTGTCAGGAGTGTGAAGGAGCCTTAAATGAAAGTTTATGACTATTGTCATGAAGTGTCATTCAGTAAATAATGAAACTTTTAACAGTCAAGTTTGCATTTTTCTGTAAATAATATTTTTATGCAAAGTTGCATTAAAACTTTCATTGAAAGTGTCAAGTTTGCATTAAAAGTGTAATTATTTATTGAATGAAACTTTGTGACAACAGTTGTAAACATTTATGAAAACTCCATTACGTTCCTGACTGCTGTTATGTCAGGTCAGTCTTATGCACAACCCTTCAAATAAAGGATTATTCCTTAAACTTTTGTACATTTTGTCATGTTACATTTTTGAATAAAAGTCAATATATTTTACTAGGATGTAGTAAATGGTGGAAGATAAATCTGACAAATGTAGTCTGGTTCTTTTGAGGTATGTCTCTAACCGGCTTTTCTCAGTCAAATTGGATGAATAACAACTGTGAACATCCAATATTTTAAGCTTTCCCTGAGATTCTCCGCTAGATTTACGTTTAGGGTTTGCAGTGCAAAAACTCTTCAAATAAAGTGTTGCCGTTTAAGCACTGTACCGTGAAGCCGGATCCCTTTTATGTAAGATACTGTCAACAGATGACTACCCCGCAGAACCCCGATTGAACTATCAGACCCAATTAATTCCTCTTCTAAAGCACAGCACAACAGGACCAAGGAAGGAGTAATAAAGGACTTCAGGCATCATTACTATGATGATGCACAGTCATTATCAGTATTTTTTAGTACAAAGGTGAGGTCAGGGGGCCAGAGGTTAGAGGTCACAGGTCATTAACGTAACTACCTGCACGACAGGGACGTGTCCGTGCAACACGGCGAACGTGAGTGGCGTCGCCTGGCGCGTTTCGGGGTAAACTGAGGGGTGCTTGTTTACTGTGCTTGGCACCTGGGAAGTCATAGGTGAAGTTCAGGGAGAGAGATACACAGCTGTTATCACATTCAGAGCTCAGGGGGAGAGACGGGGAGGAAGCAGAATGCAGGACAGGTGGAAGCAGGAAGAGGGCAAGACGGCGGGCCGAGATTTTCCTCTCGAGTTTTGCAGAAAATCTTGAGCAAGTTTTAATCCTTCCCCTCATCTCAAATCCCCGCCCTAAGCATGAGGAGCTACATCTGCCCGGACCCGGTTCTCTGTGTCGGTGTGGCTCCACCTTGTCGTGGAGCTTCGTCTCAACAACAAATGAAACCAGAGAGAAGATGTAACGGTGACGACAAACGCATGCAGGACTGGAGGTGACGTCTCAGAAGCAAAGCGGAGGCGTCGCTCAGCGGGCTTTTTATTGCTGATTAAATGATCGAAATGATTTGCAAAAATCACCCAGAGGAAAAACAACTATTTAATGTGATGTCGCATTTCATTTGGGCTCTGATGCTAAGCAGCAGCGGAACCGTTGGTGTTTTATTGTGTAATGATAGGAATTATTAATGTCTTTATAATTACAGGCAGCCGCGGCAGAGGAGGAGTAAAATCTGAGGCAGCGACTGCTGTATACATAATTATTTATATGTATTTATTTGTCCATGTGTGTTGTGTTCACTTTTTAAAATTCTGATGAGTTTGGACTCAGTTAATACAGTTTAAATAATTCTGGATCATTGTTAAGGCTTCCCAATTATCAAATTAAAACCAAAAGATAACAAAAGAAAAAAAGGCAAAAATGATTTCACAATGGCAACAAATTAAGGGAGGAAGAGAAGCGCGCACGTCTCCAAATTGCTCCTATAAGCTAGTTGCTGGAACTCTGACAGAGCACAGTTAGAAAGACCCATTGAAAAAGGTTTTAATCACACATATTGTGGTAGATCTTTTCACGTTTTCACAAAATTTAAAGGGGCAGTATCATGTAAAAAATAAATTTTTGAACGTTGCATCGTGTTGTAATGTTACTCCCTCATCACAAACAAACCCAAAATGTTGCCTTGATTCTGACACGCATGTCTGAGAAATCCTTAAATCTCCATGGCAACCACTCAGCTGTGCAAAACGCCTGGGTGGGCCAAGCCCCGCCTTCACGGACGAAGCTCTAGTAGGATTTTCATCAGCAATAAATCAACAAAATGTGTCTCCATCCTCCAAGAGAGACACATTTATTCCAAATTAAGTAATTATTTATCCAGTAATAAACTCCTGAATGATTTCAAACAGTTGTCATTTGCTTCGGAGTCGCCACAGGGAAAAATCTAAAGAAGCCATCACTACGGTGAGCAGCGATACAGACACACAGGAAAAACTGCAAAGGAAAAAAAAAAAGAAAAAGCATGATTTATGATTGCAAAGCCGTTATTTTACTGTCTTATTTCAACTTAACAAATACGTGCAATAAAGTTCATGCGGTACGTGGCAGCGAGTTACACAGAGTGCACCTGGTTGTGTAACAGTGGTGTGTTATTGATGCGCCATAAAGCAAACTGCTGCTGGATAGCTGCGGCGCGAAGCGAAATGAAGTGACGGGCAGAGCGGAGGGACTATCAGCGGATTATTATTCAGGATCGGTGGGAAGAAAAACCGACAAACGATAATCGTTTGTTATCGGTGCACTTTGTGTAACGAGCAGAGAGCGAGCAGGTGAGACAGAAACAGGAGAGGTAAGAGAGGGGAGAGGGGACAAAGTTCTCACAGAAACAAAAGTGAATGAAACATTAAACTGGGACAGAAACATTGTGATGTGTTGGAGAGACTGAACTCTGACCTCGCTGTTGATGTCGGCGCCGGCGTCCAGCAGCATCTGGACCATGGCCTCGTCACCGCGCACGCAGGCGTACATGAGAGGCGTCATCCCCTGCAGGAAACACAAGATGGCCGCATCGGAGATTCATGTTGTGTTTTCTTCCCTTAAATAAAATAAACATGTTTTCTTTTGTTGTTTGTAAGGAAATCTGAGGTTTGAGGCTCTTCACTTTTCTTTTGTGGGTTCAGTGGAGTCTGTACATATTTTCACTGTAAACAACTCGGGAGGTGAAAACCGGGCAGAGCTGCAGGAAACCAGGAGAGAGATAGAGAGAGATAGAGAGAGATAGAGAGAGATAGAGAGATAGAGAGATAGAGAGATAGAGAGATAGAGAGATAGATAGATAGATAGATAGATAGATAGATAGATAGATAGATAGATAGATAGATAGATCCATCCATCCATCCATCCATCCATCCATCCATCCATCCATCCATCCATCCATCCATCCATCCATCCATCCATCCATCCATCCATCCATCCATCCTCTGGATAGCCTGCCTTTCAGTCCCAGATCAGTAAATTGTTCTTTTTCTTTTTGTATTTTATAGAAAGTCGAAGTTCGAACTACATCGTTCGGTTTATCCAGAGTGGAGGTAAGTATTAAATCTGAACCCGATTCTGCAGCTTCTCCTCGTTCCACTGCTCAGTCAACATCCCACTTTTACTGCATCAGGTGCATTTGGGAATTTCCGGCTCCATCAGTCGGTGAAGGTATCGGTGATTCCTAGCGGCGATCAGTGAAAGCTAATCTGGCTTTCAGATTTTTAAGCTACAAGCTTTTTGAGAGTTTATTCTTAAACACAAAAAAATCAGCACATTTCACTGTATTTTATTGGTTATTTATATGATATAACAACACATTTATGGAGCAAAGGAATAAATTGATGCATGGTTTTTACATTTTCTCTGCCGTTAGTACATTTAGCAGCGAGTACATGAGCTTAATTGACAGCCTCAAGAATCTCCTGCTGACACTGTTGTTGGTCATTTCTTCGATAGTAGCTGTCACAACATAGCGATAATTTTAACAAATATTTAGAGAACATTTTATTATAAAAAAATTAAAGAGGCATGAATAGTTTTGCGAGACACTATAATTTGTATTAAATTATGGTTTTATACCCTTGTAATTCTCTCTCAACCAGATGAGAGACCACAAGAAGTTAAAAGAGCAATAAAGTAAAAGCTGCGGCTCGTCTTCCTGTCTGAACTCATCATGGCGGCCATCGGTGGCCATAACGGCCTCCTGATTAACTAGATCAGTTTTCCAGAAAATACTAAAGACTGAATGACCACAGAGGGATACGAGTCTCTGACATAAAGTGCTGCAGCGGGTTACGAGTGGCTCATAAAAGGCCTCTGTTGAACATAATGGCCCGAGTCAGACATATGATTGAAGTCGGCTTTGCAGAAGCCTGTTGAAAACACTTCAGCGCCTCTGATGAATGGAAACAACGCTCTGCCTTGCTTACAGTAAAGTTTTCATGCTCTTTCTTTCTAAGCTCAGAGAACAATGTGTGTGGGTGGGAAAGCCTGCATGTGGTTGGCACTGCAAAAACAGAAAATTCAAGTAATTCTGGTCTAGTTTCAAATGCAAAATATTGTAGTAACCTTGAAAGTAGACAAAATTAACTTAAAAGTAACTTTTCAGCACGATATAAGACTCAGTAAGTTCTTAATATTGATAAAAAAAAGTACTTATTAAACTGGCATTTCAAAATTATTCCATGGTTTGAAATTATTTCAAGTTTTCTGTGAGAAAAGTAGGGAATCACCATGGCAACCGGTGACCTAATTTAAAAGCTTTTCCTTAATATATTAACCCTTCACAACCAAAAGACGGGTTCCTCGTTGGCAGATAAAATTTTACTCATGTTATATGTATAAACATAAGTGAAATAATAATGAAGCTCGTATTTTGATAAGTTAGAACACTGCAAAAACAGAAAATCTTACCAAGTATTTATTTTATTAAAACAAGTTCCTATTTCTTGCTGAAAAGCTACTTGTAAATTACTTTTGCCTTATTTCAAGTGTACTAAGATATTTGCACTAAAAGCAAGACCAAAAACACGCTGTAAGCTTTTGTGTTTTTGCAGTGTGCTGTTGATTATCTGCAGGACATAAATTGAGGTTCAAAAGGTCTTTCAGTTTACAGACAGTCATTTCGACCAGAAATTACCAAACTGAACATAAGTAATGATTTAAAGATAATTACCTGAATGAATCACCTTTATTCTATAAATGTGATTTCTGTTTTTCTTTTTTTTTTATCAGTAGTTCAAATAGATTGAGATTGACTCATTTGGTTGGATTCCAAGAATAAGTAAAGATAATCGACCATGATTGCAGTTAAAAACGGCACAATTACAACACAGTTCTCATCAAGTTTTCTGGCATTTAGCAAATATAAACAATTTTTTTAATCCTAAACAAGACCAAAAACAAGAAAGGTTTGTTCTGATTAAACTTTAGAAAAGGGGGATAAAAATGTGTTTGTGTCTTTTTATTAAGCATAAATATCTGGTTTCAACTGTACATGTAGGAGTAGGTAAGAGCCTCTCACAATAATCAATAAATCAATTAATCGCATGCTAAATTAAAGCAAGTTCAATAATTTCCATTCGCATGACTTTGTTGATGGTTTCTTACTTTAAACATGAATTGTACAGTTTCCCACTTATATCCCACTTTATGTAATATTTGGAAAGATCTTTTATATATCACCTACAACAGGAGGAAATCTGTTTTGCATGTATTGCCCCAAACTTCCACACAATATGTCAAATGCGGCGCAATGTGACTGTTATGCAAAATTTGCTCATCTATTCTTTGGATACATTTTGTCAAGTCAACAAGTTGTTTCTTCAGACATTTGTTGGTGTTTTAAGTTCTGTTATGCTGCTCTTGGCAGTTGGTAGTTACCATAGCAACCAGTAACTGACAGCTCCTCCCCCTTTTTTTCCGTTGCCGTCGGTAACCGTGGAATGTTCTAGAATCAACTCTGTTTACTTTACAAGTGTTTAGACACATTTAATCATTTACAGTGTTTCATGAGTAATTTAGCTATGTTTTGTTTGTTTTTTAATGGTTATCATTATTAATGTTCATTTCAGCTATGCTTAATTTTACAAACTGCTAACTGGGAGTTAATGCTTTGTAGTTTGTTTAGGATTATTTATTGTATTTTATTTAATGTTTAGAGGCAGAAGCTGCTGGAATGATGATGATTACCAACTTGATTTCCTCTTCTGTTATAATAAATGCAGTGAACCTGAAGGTGTTTGTCTGGACCTACTGGACCTGAGACTAACATACAGCTCTCGATAAAATTAATAGACCATTTATAATTATCAGTTTCTCTGATTTTATTTCTTTTTATAGGTATATGTTTGAGTAAAATGAACATTGTTTTTTTATTCAATGTCTCTCAAATTCAAAGCAAAAATTTCGTATTTATTTGCAGAAAATGAGAAATGATCAAAATAACAAAAAAGATGCAACCTCAAATAATGCAAAGAAAACAAATTCATACACATTTACAAACTACAATACTGATGTTTTAACTCAGGAAGAGTTCAGGAATCAATATTTGGTGGAATAACCAGGAGGTTTTCAATGGGGTCCAGTGCAGTGGGCTCTTAAGAAGGGTTACGTGTGTGTGTGTGTGTGTGTGTGTGTGTGTGTGTGTGTGCGCGTGTGTGTTGCACCTGTTCGCTCATGCTGTTGATCCCGTCGGGCCCCAGCAGGTTGACGGCCTGCTTGACCAGATCCGTCCGGCCGCAGTTGAGCATCCTGAAGCCCAGATCCTGCAGGAACTTGGCCTCGGTGGAGGCTGCGTCCAGCTTCCGGGTGGCGCAGAAACAATCTTCGGCTCTGCAGATGGAGGCGGCAGATACATTATCGTGACTAAGTGGGGGCTTATCTCAGAAATGGATTTGGGGAATCAGTGGGCATTCATCTCCCCAAAGGACGCCGGGAGAGAGCGGGAATGATTATTGCTCAGCTTTTCCCGGCTTAAACCAGAACCTAGTCCATACGCATCGAGCTGTTTACACTCAGAAACGACTCACTCATATCTGAGCCAAGTGCTCAGTCTTCTGCCTCCTCCAGGTGAGGCTTCTGCTGCGACTCGTTTTCTCTCTCTAATGACTCTTAATTGACGCTGCGAACAGCTGCTGCTGATCCGGTTCTCAACAGGGTCGCAGGGAAACCTCTTCACAATATTATTCTGATTCTACCTGACAATTATATGTGGCATTTTGAAAAGAGATGCTAATTGGTAACAAACACCTTCGCCGTTCTGTTTGTTTCATCTCCGCAGATGTTTGAAGTGGAAGGACTGTTAGCCCATGACTCTTTGATAAAATCCTTAAAATCATTGATTTATGCATGAGACAAAAGCTTAGCAGATTTTTGATTTTCTGTCTGTGAACTGTACAGAGACGCATTTGTGAGAAAATGTTTTTAAAATGGCAACTGATGGCTGCTGGTCCAACTGAAAAATTAAAATATCTCCATTTGTGCATTAAAACTTTGTTTTTACTATTTTTTCAAGATAAAAGGGATTCTGAGTAAAAACAACATGGTTCGTTCTTTTTTGCAAACAATTAAACAATTTTCCAACTGTTTTGTTTTCATTTAGCAACCAAACCAAAACTGAAGAGTCATTCGTAACAATATTTTGTGAATTGTTTCTTGTGTTACAGTGTGATGCTAAAACCAGCAGGTCACCAAACAACCTTGAACAAATAAACTGAACTCACTGATTACATTTTTATAAATCTATACGCTGATGATATTCGGCTGATGCTGCGTTCACACCAAACGCGAATTGAGAGTCATTCTGGTTTACGTTCAAAGTCTGCGTGGAGGCTCTGCCCTGCGTCGCGTTTCCAGGACAATCTGAAGCGTTTGGCGGGCGTACAGGCGTTCGCCGCTCGATGTGGGGAATCAACCAATCAGAGAGACTCCGCTACGTCTCTCTGGTGCATTTTCCGACGTAATCTCAGGGGAAAAAAACCCATGGAGGATAAAGTAATTGTGGCTGTTTGCTTTCGTCCTATAATCTACCAAAAATCACAGTTACAGAGACAGGAATAGGAAGGATCAGGAAGGAAGTTGGGATGTCGGATAAGTTATAACTTTTACTATTTGAAAATAATTCCCACACATATTTAAATAAACATATTTATTTAGAGGAAACATGCAGAAGACGGTGGGAGAGTTTGCGGTACACGTCTCCTCTCTCGCAGCGTGAGAAATCCAATCAGGTTTTAACCAGAACGAGTGAGAAATTTGCTCAAAGAGCCAGGAGCCGAAGCCCGTACGGCGTATTTGGACTTTGTTTTCGTTCTTACTTGATTTGCCGCGGCTCGCAGTCCACCCCGGGCAGCAGCAGCCTGGCGGCCTGTCTCACATCGTCGCTGTCGACGGAGAAGCTGCGTCTGTGTTCGGTGTGGGCGACGGCCACACGGATCCACTCCATCAGCGGAGGCAGAACCAAGAACGGCCTGCAGAGCAGAACAGGGCTCAGTAATGATTAGCATCAGTCATTTCAGAGTCAGATTACATTAAATTTGACGAGGGTAATGATTTGTTCAGCAGCTCTGTGCGAGTAAGTTACACTCGTTACACAATTTCAGTGTAGAAATATTAATAATTTACACCATTAGCTAAAATCCCAGCCTGGCGTAAACAGTTAATAGAGATGTTGGTTCCCTTTGAGGCTCAAACTAAACTCATTAAAGATGTCCTGATAGATATTAGAGAGGCAGCAACACAAAATCAATACTTAAAATTTATTACAGGGACAATTCAGAGCTGAAAGAGATCTAGGAGCGGTAACCTCCCTAAGTGCTGTTATTACCCTCATTTATCACAAAGAGCAGTGGCCTGACTGATAAATGATGTGTGCATTCTTCATAATTTATTATAAAAGTGTGTTTTTTAGATTAATCAATCTAAAAATAACCCACGCGCGCTCTGCCTGCGCCGTGTTTCTCCTCCTGCAGGGAAACGTCAGCAGAGTGATTTTATCTGACGCAGGATAAAACCAGGGGCGTCAGAAAGGGAAAGGATTCAGATTTCTGTGGGAAGTCAACTTAAACTATATTTCACCTCTTTAAAACAGCAGTGATGGATGAAAACAAAGCAGTAGTGTAAATTAAAAGTATTTACAGTTTATATTCTGTAAAAAAAAAATATATATCACCTTTAACTTTGATCAAATTGAGCTTTAAATTCACTTGGTTTGGAAAATTCCCTTGTTTCATTTAAGCAAATTTTTGCACCACTTCGATGGATGCCGATTCTTTTAATGAAGATTTTTGCTTTTTTACTTTTTATTAGTTTATCTATAATGGTAGAACACTTTAGTCGTGTGTAAACAGCTTTTTAAACCTAATTATGATTCATTTATTCACATTTATAATAATAAAAAACATCTATATTCATATGTATCGTTATCGCTTAACTCCATTTCACATAAATTGTACTTAAATTTAATTCGCTGTACTTTCTCATGTCAGTATTCAATAAACTTTTGTAAGTACGCAACGTTCAGATTATCTGACCTTCAGAAACAACATCCACATGTAATTACAGAGTAAAACCTTAAAGTTATCCAATATGGTAAATTAAATCACAAAACTCTAATCTTATCCATCAAAAAGTCATCGCTGTAATAGCATTTAATAATTAAGCATCTAGTCTAGTCTACATTTCAATTTTTTTTTTAAATAAATCAATGAACACTCTGCGGTTCTTTTGCAAATGTAACCTTGCCTCTCCTATTTAGTTTCAATTGAACTTTTTCATCGTATTTAATCACTTTGCTTGTCATCCTGCAGATTCATTCAGGTCCTTGCTGCTCGTCTCCAAGCTTTCAGCTGAATGCTAAGCAGAGTTTTGTCTCAGAGGGATGGAAACTCTGCTGACGTGTCACTCCGCCTTGACATTCCTCACGTTCCCAAGGGTCGCCCCGATGGAGTTTCAGCGTTCCTCGGCGAGGAAGAACGCGAGAAAGATGTTGGAATATCTGTCCATCAAGAAGCTGCAGGCTTTGGCAAGAGTCAGCGCTGACCGGCCCACGCTGCTGGAGCAAATACCTTCAGCAAGAATGTAGAAATGTAGGTTTTTATTGTGAGCCTGTACTCAGCTTGGCTGGAAGGTTAAAAGGACAGATGCAAAAATCGACTCAGTTGCCAGAAGTCATATTAGTAAATCTGAATCTGTTAAATATCTTATCATTTCATTCAGGGGTGTTAAAGTTGAGACTCAGCTAAAAGTTTCAGAACTAGAAACCAGCACCTCTGCTCCACAGTGTAAATCGTAACTTCGTATTTAACTGAAAAAGACGAGTGGACACAACGTGACTTTGGTCGCAGTTTAGCTGAACTCAATTAAACGACGATGTGTTAAGAACAAGAACTCGCCAAAGAACTCAGACATTTTGAGATTAATCAAAAAAATCCTAATTTGCTAGATTTTTTTTTTGTTGAAAGTTTGAGATGAGGCACAGAAATTTTTGAGAAAGAAACTTGGAAATTTCTGAATTTTTTTCTAGCAAATTTTCAAACTTTTAACTCTAAGAAATTTCCTTTTTTTCATTTAATTCCTGAGATCAATCTAAAAACATCAAAGTTTTTTCTATCAAATATTCAACTTTTGACACTCAGAAATGTTCTATTTTTTCCATTTAATTCCTGAGGTCCATCTAAAAACATCTGAATTTTTAACTTTTCAAACTAAGATTTCTATTTTTTTTTCCATTTAATTTATTAGATTAATATAAAAGTATCTGAGTTTTTTCTAGCAAATTATTGACTTTTGACATTCAAAAATTTCCTAATTTTTCAATTTAATTTCTGAGATTGGTATAAAGATATCTGAGTTTTCTCTAGCAATTTTTGATGTATGACACCAATAAATTTCCGTTTAATCTCCAATTTTAATTTAAAAGTATCTAAGGCTATTTGTAGCAATTTTTTTTTACTTTTGACATTCATAAATTTTCTTATTTCTTCTATTTAATTCCTGAGATAAATCTAAAAACACCAGAGGATTGTTTTAGCAGATTTTTGACTTTTCAATCTTAGAAACTTCCTTGTTTATTCTAGGAAATTTCTAAGATTTTCTAGAGGAAATGTTCTTTTTTCAGCGAATTCTGTGGTGTAAAGTGAGCAATAAATTTGGATTTAAGTGAATAAATTAAGTGGATTTAACTTATGTTTTCACATAGTTACAATACATTAAATAAAAACCAAACATTTTAAGTGAAGTCAGCACTGTTTTTCTGTCTTGGCCGACATTGAACATCAAATGTCTGCATCGTTTTGGAAATAAAAAGCGAGTTGGTGCAGCCCGACTATCTCTCGTTAAGTAATTTCACAATAATAATAATAATAATAATAATACCTGAAAGGTAAGTGAGCGTCTCACCTCTCGGTTTGTAGGGTGACTTTGGACGGCTCCACGTTGGGGTTCTCCCACTCCATCTGTGGGCAGTGCATGAAGTAACAGAGGGTGTAGAGCGCTTCGGGTTCCCAGTGGACCGTAGAGCTGCTCTTCTGGTGGACCGGCGTCCCGTTGCTCGGGTTCTTGATGTGTAACGGCTGCAGGTGATGCATGGCCCGGGAAACCAAATCACCTGGAAAACATGACATCAGCCTCGTTCATTAAAACCGAGCTGTAAATCGCAGGTTTAGTTGACGTAAAAAGGAAATGCGCTCCCCTGATACACAAAGCCCGTCTATTGATTAAGCCACCATGTGCCCACGCTGTCTTGAGTGGAAAATTGCCGTCTTAAAAGCCATCCTACTCACATAAGCTCTGTTTTTCTCCTTTGTTCAGTTTCAGTTTCGTTCAGTTCATTTATCCCGGGTCAGTTCAGCAGAAATATTTCACTTAATAACCAGCAAAGCTTATTTAAAACGCGCAGGAAATTGTCTAATTGTTTGATTTAGAGTATTTCTAATTGCTTGAGTGGAGAATTTAGGTAAGTTTTGTTAAAGTGGTGATTCAGATTGGGAAGACTGATTTAACCCCACTGGGCAACATTTTTACAGTGTAACTCTGAAAAAACTAAATATCTCATTTCAATCTTGCAATTCTGAGACAAACAAGATGAACTGAACAGATTTATTTTAATTATTGACACTTTTTTTTTTAACCAACTGTAACATCCGGCTGAGTGGTGAAGATTAATATAATATATACAGAAGGCAAAATTACAGAAAAACATGATAAAAAATTCATGAATCAATGTTTTAACAGCTGTTAAACTTTAGACGTGTTTTAATTAAAGTGGGTTTAAAAATGTAACTTTTGTATAGGTACAGTCCGTTTTTATCCAAGAAAATCAACAATATCTCCAAAAATCACAGGGATTATCATTTAATCCTAAAAGGCAGGGATGTCAAACTTATTTTAATTTTGGGTTATATAAAAAATCTGAACGTTCTTGTGCCAGAATATATTGATTAAACAAATTAAACT